TCAAGACCCCATTATTTGTATCACTTTTCCACTACCCATCAGCTCCTTCTGGTTTTCACATCCTTCTCTACTCAGGCAAGAGATAGTCACTCTCCTCACAAACCCTCAACAAACTTGCCTGTCTCCATCTCTCTCTCCATTTACTGATGGATGCACCCAGCGATCATACTTCTCCACGTGCACCCGAGCAGCTGAACATTACCAGAAAAAATATTACTGAGCTGGACCTATGGGCTCCACTTTCAGTTCATGACCACAAAGTGCGTGTAAGCCCTCGGCACAGAGACAAGTGGCCTCGTGTCTCGTTCAGCCTTCAGTCCACGGTGCTCAGCGTGCTCTACCAAGGTTCTCCCATCAAGGCGAGCAATGGGTGCCCAGGTTCAAGATTCAGCGCACGCTTCTCAGCCTGCATCTTTCTCAGCAGCTCGTGGCAGCTAACCATTCCTTCCTCCCGGGAACATGTCCTCCCATGTCGGCTTTTCTCCTTTTGTCCATTTTCTCAGCCTCCATTGCCGGTTCCACCTTCTCTACCTGACCTCAGATGTCTGGGTGCTCAGATGTCTGGGCTCCTTTTTAGGCTTAAGAAAAAAAAATCTTATCACACTTTCTCCCTAAGGAGCCTATGATGCTCTCCCCAAATGTGTACCTGTAGCTTTCGCCTCTTCTCGCTCTTCTTTGCACGCCAGGTGTAGGTATGTGTCTGCTAATTCAATATCTCTGCTTAGATGTCTAATAAACAGCTAAAAAAAGAAGCCATCCAAGTAGATACCCCTACACCAAAACCTATTTCCCCTTCCACCTTTTTCAAACTAACCCAGTTATTCCAGGAGTCATAAACCTAGGAATCATCTTTCCCATTCACGCACATTCGATCTGTCAGCAAGCCCTTCCTATTTTACTTCCAAAATGTATCTCAAACCCTTTCCCCATCCCCTTTCCCATGTCTATTTTACCAACCCTGCCCCTGTCCTGGTTCAAGCCATCCCAACTTTTGCCTCACCTTGTGCAGTAGGCTTCTGACTGGTCTTCCAGAAAACTCTTCTCTTTTCTATAAGCAAGGGAGCTTTAGACCATGTAAATTAGATCACACTCCATGCCCCGCCCCCCCCAGGCTTCCACTGCAACTGAGCTAATCCAGACTCTTTGTTGTGGTCAGCAAGGCCCCTCGCAAGATAGCCCCTGCCTGCCTCCCCGTGCCCCCTCTTCACTGGCCTCCACTGGACCCACCCCACCCATGCTGACCTCTTACCCACCTCAGGGCCTTAACAGGAGCTGCTTCCTCTGCCTGGAATGCTCTTCCCCAGAATATCCTCAATGGCATCTCCTGTTTGCAACGCAGGTCTCAGTCCAAATAACTTCTCTTAAGAGAGGACTTCCCCGACTACCTTATCTAGTATAGACCCTTTTTTCTTGAGTTATTCACTCACCCTATTTATTTCCATCATATCGCTTATTGTAATCTAATGCTGAATTGTTTAATATTTGTTTAGTTTTTTACTCACTGTTCTCTCCTACTGGATATCAGTGCCATGAGAGTAGGGACCTGACCTGATTTGCCTAGTTTACTCCCAGACCTTGTCTTAAAAATCACCTTATTTATTTATTATTTTAATTAAATGTTTTATTTATTTATTTATTTTAGAGAGAGAGCGCACATGAGCAGGAGGGGTAGAAGGAGAGGGAGAGAATCCTAAGCCGACTCCACGCTGAGTGGAGCCCAATGCAGGGGTCGATCTTGTGACCCCGAGATCATGACCTGAGTGGAAATCAAGAGTTGGATGCTTAACCGACTGAGCCACCCAGGTGCTCCCCACCCTTATTTTTTAAAGATTTATATATTTATTTTAGACAGAGAGAGAGGGAGTGAATGGGGGTAGGAAAGGAAGAGAGAGGGAAAGGAAGAGAAAGATCTCAAGCAGACTCCACCGGAGCACAGAGCCTGACATGGGGCTCAATCTCACGACCCGGAGATTGTGACCTGAGCGGAAATCAAGAGTCAGACACTCAACCAACTGAGCCACCAGGTGCCCTGAAAACCCACCTTTAGCTTATAGCAGGTGCTCAAGAAACACTTGTTAAGTAAACGAATACAAAGTTAGACAGGTGAATGTGCCAATATAAGCCTCTGGTGAAAGATCTGCACAGGAGATAAAGTTTGGGGATTATTATAAAAGATAAATCTAAATAAGCAAGGTATGGGAGGGAACTTCCCTGATCTGTTAAAAGGATCTGCAAAAAAAAAAAAAAAAATCTGCAGCATGAGACTTAGTAGTGAAACACTGAAACAGTCCCTATAAAAATGGAAGAAGACAAGGGTGCTCACTACCATATCTTCTAGGCAATTCTGCTGGAGATCCTAGCCTGCATAGTGAGGCAACAAAGAGAAACAATGTTTCAAAAGAAAGACACAGAAATGACATTATTTGGACACGTATTATTTTTGTAGAAAATCAAAATAATCTATAGATGAGTGATTAGAGTTTAGTGAGGTTTCTGGATCAACATAAAAATATCAATTGCTTTTTTTTTTTTTAAAGATTTTACTTATTTATTTGAGAGAGAGGAAGAGTGAGAGAAATAGAGAGAGAGAGAGCATGAGCAGGGAGGAGGGGCAGAGAGAGAGGGAGAAGCAGGCTCTCCGAGGAGCAGGGAGCCTAAAGCAGGGCTGGATCCCAGGACCCCAGGATCATGACCTGGGCCAAAGGCAGAGGCATAACCGACTGAGCCACCTAGGCACCTCTCAAATGCTTTTTAAAATAATTTTTTATATACCAGGAAAATGCAGACTATCTCATTATCCTATGTTCATCTCTATATGTAAATGAAACAACCATTGTTTCACCACAAAACTCACTGTGAGCACAATTAGTTACAAAAGAGAGCACACTATGGACACACCAAGGTGTGTTATCGCCACACCTTAGAATACCAGGTGTCACAAGAAAACGCTACAAATATCCAGGAAGAAGAAAACACGGGTCACCTACAATGGATGCTAGAAGAGAACGGATACTTTCATACTACTGAAGAAAAATAATTTGATTTTAAACATAAAATTCTATACCCAGCTAAGCTGGCATTAAGTTATAGATGTTTAAAACTTTGACATTTTTGGATATAGAAGGACTTAGAAAATTTGCCCCATATATATTGCTCAGAATTATCTGAGAATATGCTCCAGCAAAAGGAAGGAGTACACAAAGAGGAATTACACTTGAGATCCGGGGTAAGGTAGATGGAGCCCAGGAGAGCGGTCAAGGGGAACCCTTCAGAAGACTTCCCGATGGCAGGCATGGCTGAATGCAACCAGGTCTGATGAGAGGGGTTTATACAGGCTTCAGGGAGGGAGATTGCTAAGAAAAAGGGCTTGATAGAATACAGTAACAGGGGCGCCTGGGTGGCTCAGTCGTTTAAGCGTCTGCCTTCGGCTCAGGTCAGGATCCCAGGTCCTGGGATCGAGCCCCGCATCGGGCTCCCTGCTCCGCAGGAGCCTGCTTCTCCCTCTCCCACTCCCCCTGCTTGTGTTCCCTCTCTCGCTGTCTCTCTCTCTCTGTGTCAAATGAATAAATAAAATCTTAAAAAAAAATGTACAGTAACAAGGGGGTGGGATAGGGAAAGGAAAGGTATTGATTATAATCGAGATACCACAAGGAAAACAAGGTATAATCAGAAACTCCAGGCCAAAAAACAGTCTGTGTAAGGAACCAATATAATTATAATCCATTACAGTCAACATTTTCAAAGTCACAATAGTGTAAAAATTGTTGATTGGTATAACAACTATTGATATAGAAGCTATTGATGTAAATGTGATGATTTAATGATATTAGGAGAATAAGGGTTGGAAGGTAACATAAAAGTTAAATCCTCATCTGTTACAGCAAGAGTACAGGGGGTCTAAAATGGCTGAGTCAAGGAAAAGCATTAAAGTATATTATTTAGAATAAATGGAGGTAACTACCAGAAGGCCGGGGCAAGCAGGATTTAGTGGTGGGGAAGGCATACACGAAGAATGTGTGTTTCCATAGAAGTCTTAGTACACTGAGTATGAACTATGTGTATTTACTACTTTTGATGAACCAAAAATTTATTTTCAAAGAAAGATCTCTAGTCCAGAAAGGAGGGGAGTTTTCGGACACTGATTTTTTTTTTTTTTTTTTTTTTAGGGTGGAGCTAAGGAGGCTTCAGGGCCCTCGTGAGGGCTGAAATTTCTTCTCGCTCTGCGGCGGGCGGATAGCATTTCTGAAAACCCGCCTCGAGACATCCAGACAGAGGGGCTGCTCTCCGTGGTTCATTTTCCTCCCTCTGAATAAATAGACATTTTCCAGCCTTCCTCGGTGCGCCTTTTCCTTAGAGAAACTGAGTCCACTTCAGGCCTCACCCAACCCGGTTTGTTCCCCTGGAGGTGCTGGAGTCAGGCTTCCTGTCCATGGCTCTGGGGGAGGGGGAGGCCAGTCTTCTCAGTAGTTCTTACAATCCGGACGGAGGGGATACCCGGAACCCGGAGACTGTAAGCCTTTGGAGGGGAGGAAGAGAGCTGAACGTCCCCGCGTCTTCCCACGGTCCAGCTGCAAAAATCAGCGCAGGCTTAACAGGTGTTTGTGGAAGGGACAGGTGGACCCCAGCGCCTGGCGCCCCGCACCTCTGCCCCGCAGGCGCCTTTCTGGCCCGTGTTTTGAGTTTGCTCATCTCAACTGCCCTTCCTCATAGATCATTATCTGTGTTTGGTCGGTTCGTGCTAGGAGTGGAGCAACATTTTGTTGACTTCAGGAATCTTTTCGTGCATTCTTTCTGTAAAGTGAATTAGCAGCATACAATAAGTCTGTTTGGGGGGCTTACTTAAAATGGGGCACACCAGTAACTAAGTTCGGCTCTAACAACGACTGATTCGCAGCCGCCAACAACCAGACATCCACAGGTGGCTCCTGTCGGCTCTTGAGCTCCAGACCACCTGCTTCAACCCCGAGGGCGAAGTCCCGACGCTCCGCGACCTCTTCGTCATGGCGTCCGCGGGGCGTCGGCCAGCGGCGGCCCCGCCCCGGCGTCTGCCGCGCGAGACCTTCCCAAGATGGCGGCGGCCCCGGGGGGGGTGGCTGCGCGCAGGGGGCGGGGTTCCGCCGCTGGGGGCGGGGCCGGGCGGCCGGGGGGTCGGGCTTGCGGGCGGGCCGAGCCGAGGTGGGCAGCCCCAGCGCGCTTGCGCGGAGCGGCCCTGCGTGCAGTGAGGCAGTGGCGGGGGGAAGGCACCCGCGGGGCCGACTGGCGGCTTGAAGGAGGGAAGCGGGCTAGCGGAGTCCCAGTGCGCGCCGCGGCCGCCCGGGCGCCCTCCCCTTCCGGCGTGAGGCGCTGTGTGGAGCCGAGCCGAGCGGACCCGCGCCGGCAGCGAGGCGCTGCTCCCGCCGCCCCAGCCCGGCCTCCCCCGGCTCCGGCGCTCCCGTCTCGGGGGCCCGCGTTCCTTAGCACACCCGGCTCCAGGCGCCCCCAGAGCCTGCGCTCGGCCCTCCGAAAGCCCCGGCGCCGGCCCGGGCCCTCGGCGGGAGGATGACGGAGCTGCAGTCGGCGCTGCTACTGCGAAGACAGCTGGCAGGTGAGCGCGGGCTGGCGGCGGGGCGCCGGCCGGGCCGGGCCGCGGGGAGCCGCGGCCGCCAAGTCCTCCCTCCTCCGGGGCGGGCGGGCCGCTGGCGAGCCCGGGGCGCCCGTCCGGCCGGGCCGGGCACTTGGCCGGCGTCGGGAGGGTGTCGGGGGCGGGGACGCGCCCCGCCGCGGGGACCGGGCCCGGCGCCCGCCCCCCTCCCCCACCGCCCAGTGGGACGTTGCGGGGGAGGGGCTGCGGGCCCCCGGAGGGGCGGGCCCGGGGGCTCAGGTGCGGCCGGGGACGGGGGCGGGGGGCCGCGGGACCCCGGGGGGCCGGGAGGGGCGTCTGGGCCCGCGGGCCGCGGGGGGCCGGGCCGGGCGGGGCCCGGGCGGGCGAGGGGAGGCGGCCCCCCGGCCGCGGAAGGGAGGCGCGCAAAACTTCTGGCCGGCCGCGCGGCGCCGCGGAGTTGGGGCGGACAACAAAAGCGCCGGCCTGGGCGGCCGCGCCGCGCGGCTGTCGGCGAGGCGGGCGGGTGCGGGACGCCGCCTGGCCTGCCTCCGCCTGGCACGGGTCCCGCCGCCCGCCCGCCTCGCCCGCCCGCCGGGGTGGGTGGGAGCGGGCCGGGGAGCCGCTTGCGGCTGGCCCCGGGCTTTGTGCTCCGAGCGCCGCGGCCCCCCGCGCCGGCCTGCGGAGCCCGAGGGCTGCGGCCCACTGGCCTGGCCTGGGGCGGCGGCCGGGGCGGCCTCCCCGGAGGTGTCTGCGTCCCCCTCCCCCATTGTCCCGGCCTCCGGCCGTTTGCGGCTTCCAGGTTGACTTTTTAGGGGGTTGGCTCCGACTCCGCTAGGACTGTGCGAGCGAGGCATGCGCACTGGGGGCGGACGTGCGCGGAGTGCGCGGTGGGGGGGGGGGCGGCGGGTTGGTGGCTTCACAATGCCGCCCCACGTGCTGCCAGATTTAAAGAGAAATGGCCCGGCGGCGAGAGCCCCGCGGTCCGCGCCCCGCCGGGTCCTCGCCGCCCCGCGCCCGAGCGCCCCGCGGCCCGCGCCCGAGCCCGGAGTGCAGAACTGCAGCGCAGGAGGAGTTGGGCTGCTGCTTCAGTCACCTTTATGGCTTCTTAAGAAAAAGGTTGTCAGCGGCTGTTACAGATTGTATAATTAGGTTTATTATTAGACCATGAGCAAGCAGGTTTGGACAAGTATTAAAGTTCTGGATGCTCATGGGGAGTGACTTCAAGTGGATGGAGAAGTTCGGGTGATACTTGATAATTCATCACGAATAATGTATCGGAAAAGCTGTGAAACAATAACCTTACTGCATCTTGTGTTTGCAGACGCATCTTATTTTTGGTGTCGTTTTTTCGTTTATTTTGTTTTGGAGGAAGGAATTAAGATGTACTTTTGTCTGGCGAAGAATTCTTTAATAAGTTTTTATTATGCTGTGAACAGTGTTAGAATACTAAGTATGAAAACAGCATTCAGCTCAGTGGGAAACACGTTTTAAAAGGTGTAAAAGAAGTTAGGCAGTCACTAAGAAAGTATGACTAATAACAGTGTTAGCAGTATTTCAAAAGTAGTTTCCTACTCAGCTCTAGATTTTGATGGCCTCTCGGTTCAGTTTTGCACTTTTTGACAAGATTAATCCCAAATGTTGATACAATATTTTCCAAAGTTCTTCATTCATGGTTGACTCTTTCAAGATTTTATTTTTAAGTAATCTCTATACCCCACATGGGACTCAAACCCACAACTCGGAGATCAGGATTCCTGCATGCTCCACTGACTTAAGCCAGCCGGGCCCCCAGCGATGGGCTTTTTGATAAGGCCCGTTAAAACATGCTTTTAAGCTTAGAGGAGAGAATGTATTGGTGTGTAATTTTTCAAGCCTCATTATAAAGTTACTTAACTGCTGATTGATTTTTCTTGCCTTCTTGATCAGAAACAATGGACTAGTCTTAATTTCTTAAAAATTTGGAGGATTTTAATTAACATGGACAAAATAGTACGCCAAGGCAGTGTATTAAATGAAATGTAAAAATATCACGCTCATTGGAAAGACTTGATAACTACTCACTAAAATAAAGGCCCTGTTGTATGTTAGTAGTACATTGTTTGAACTTTGTGGTTCTTCAGATATCATTTGAAAACAGGAAAGAATGGTAAACTGTAATCTCTTGAAATCATTTAGACTGAACTTTGAAAGGCTTAATGATAAATGCTTTAGAAGTCCTGGAATGAATTGAATTAAGTAGACAAAGCTGTAAGCCATTCTAGCTGCTAGAATTTCAGAAACTTAACAGCAGCAGTGGTCCATAGTGGTTAGGTTTATTGAGGCTGACCTTTAAGGGTTTTACTTCATTACTCATTACTCCAGGGGAGAATTTATTGTGTGTGTGTGTGTGTGTGTGTGTGTGTGTCTGTTTTGTTGGTAACTGGAATGAAGAACCTCCTGGTTCCTTTCAGAGTGGGGCAGAATGGTTCCTTTGGTTGCAGGGTTTCTCAGACTCAGGACTACGGACATTTTGAAAATGGCAGACACTGTTGTGGGGGCCTATACTGTGCCTTATAGAATATTTAGCAGCATCCTTGGCCTCTACCTACCAGATGCCAGTAGTAGTATACCCCTTCAGTTGTGACAACCAGACCTGTCTCTGTTGCCATTGTCTCCTGAGGGATTAAAACCAGCCTAGGTTGAAAAATCACTGGTTTAAGGTTGTTTGGTTAAGACCATGATGGCTGTTGTGAAGCAAGTAAGAACACCTAACAGACTCACAAAATCAGATAGGCTGTGTATTTCTGTGTGGGTATTATTAGACTCTGACTCCTTTGCGGGTTCAGCAGCAGCGCATAATGCTAAACACTGAGAAATCTGACACACCAAATTTCACTTCAAAATTGTTTTTTTTTTTTGAGAAGGTATTATAAGCACTGGTTAAAAATACAGAGCACAAAATGGTATAGTCTTTCCACTCCCCCACAGAACCCCAAGTTCTTTTCTTGGAAACAGCCATCATTGATAATTTCCTGTGTGCCTTTTCTGAGAGATTCCTGTATCTCTGTTTACGTGTATATATATTTCCTGAGGACTACCATGTACTGGGCACTGTGTGGACAGCTTTACATGTATTATCTCATTTAATCCTCCCGATAAGGAGATAGTGGCTTTGAGATGTTGAGTTACTTGCCCAAAGTCGAGCTGTAGTAAGTGAGTGGTACTGCTGCATTCAAATTGAGGGCCTTCTTATTTTGGAGACTTTGTTTTTATTTATTTACTTATTTTTTATTTTATTTTATTTTTGACTTTGTTTTTAATTGGCTATATTGCCTTCCATGGAGCTGTAATTACCACAAACATGAAATACTGTTTTATAAATTTTAATATTCAGAGTTAATTTATCCAGTAACTACCAAAATGATTGTGGAAATATTCCTATCTTAATAAAATGTATCATCAAAATACCACACGTTAAAATTAAATGGTTAGGGGCGCCTGGGTGGCTCAGTTGGTTAAGCGACTGCCTTCAGCTCAGGTCATGATCTCAGGGTCCTGGGATCGAGCCCCGCATCAGGCTCCCTGCTCGGCGGGAAGCCTGCTTCTGCCTCTGACCCTCCCCCTGCTTGTGTTCTCTCTCTCTATTAAATAAATAAATAAAATCTTTAAAAAAAATAAAATCTAAATGGTCTTCAGGTAATCGTAAAAAGATATTTTAGCCGTTGTGAGCTTAAGGCCAACATTCTGCAGAATCAGGGAATTAAAGTCATAAGCTGAAAGTATTGCTGAGCTTTTTGGTGTTGGTGGTTAGCTACGAGAAAAATTTTGGACTAGTTGGGCTTGGAAATACTACTTATTTTTTTAAAGTAGTCTCCACACCCAGCAAGGAGCCCACTGGGGGGCTTGAACTCATTGACCCTGAGATTGAGAGTCAGATGCTTAACCAACAGCCACCAAGGCGCCCCTTGGACTAGTTGGACTTACTCTACCCTTACCGTACTAAATTTTATGATATGACAAGCATTTATAAGGAATATGGGGAAGTTTTTAACCTTTTTTTTTTTTTTTTTTTT